GCGGGTTCGAGACCCGCCTGGGCAGCGAGACCTCATCTCTACAATAAATTTTTTAAAAATTAGCCGGGCGTGGTAGTGCGCGCCTGTAATTCCGGTTACTCGGAAGGCTGAGGCAGAATGATCGCCGGAGCCAGCAGGTCGAGGCTGCGGTGGCCGGGAGCGGCCACGGCACTCCAGTCTGGGTGACAGAGTGAGACTCCAACTCAAAAAAAAAAAAAAGAAAGAAATGACTTTGTTTATCCCTATTAACATTCCTTGCTTTGAAATCTATGCTGTTTGATATTAATATAACCATTCCAGCTTCTTTAGATGAATATTATAGTTTTGTTTTGTTTTGTTTTGGAGACAGGGTCTCACTCTTTCACCCAGACTGGAGTGCGATGGTATGATTGTGAATACAGCTCACTGCAGCCTTGATTTCCTGGGCTCAAGTGAGCATAATCAATACCTGAGTCTCCCATGTAGCTAGAACTATAGATGTGTGCCACTATGATTGGCTAATTTTTTTTACATTGTTATTTTTTAGAGACAGGGTCTTGCTATGTTGCTCAGGGTGGTCTAGAACTTCTGCCTCAGCCTCCCAAAGTGCTGGGATTACAGGCATGAGCCAACGCACCCAGCCCTTTTCCATCTTTTTACTTTCAACCTATTTGTCCCCTTATATTTGAAATATGACTCCTGTAGGCAGTATACAGTTAGGTCTTGCTTTGTTTTTCAGTTGGACAATTTCTGCATTATAATTGGTATAGTTAGACCATGTACACTTAGTGTTAACAGTTGATATCGTTAGCTTTAAACCTATCATCTTATTATTTGTTTTCTATTTGTCCTATCTGTTCTTTGTTCCTTTCTTGTCTTTTTCTGCTTCCTTTTGAGTTAATCGAATATTATTCTGTTTTCGTTTTATTTCCTTTGTAAGTTTATCAGCTATATTACTTTGTTATTTTGTTATCTTTGGATTCATAGGCTGCATATGTAACTTATCAAAGTCTATTTTCAAATGATATTATCCCACTTCATGTATAGAACACTTCCACCTCTCACCTCCTGGGTTTCCTGTGACTGTTGTCATACATCTTACTTTTACAGATGTTATACTTCCCACACTGCAGTTATTATTTTTGTTTGAACAGTCAATCGTGTTTCTAAGGAAATTTACACAACAAGGAAAATTTGCATATTTACCCATGTAGTTAACATTTCTTTTCTTTTTTACTTTATTTTATTATAAAGATGCAGGATACAAGTCAGGTCTACGTGCTAGTGAAGTTTGTGCCTCCAGCTGGTCCTCACTTCCCCTGGTTGAGGATCAGGTACCTAAATGTCATGTGTCCCCCTAATTAACATTTCTGATGTTCTTTATCCACTTGTGAAAATTCAGTTTTCCACCTAGTAGCACTTCTGTCTGCCTGAAGGACATTTTTTTTTTTAGTTGGAGTCTCACTCTGCTGCCCAGACTGGAGTGCAGTGGCCGCTCCCGGCCACCGCAGCCTCGACCTGCTGGGCTCTGGTGATCCTTCCGCCTCAGCCTTCCGAGTAGCCGGAATCACAGGCATGCACCACCACGCCCGGCTGATTTTTTATTTATTGTAGAGATGAGGTCTCGCTGCCCAGGCGGGTCTCGAACCCGCGGGCTCAGGCAATCCACTCACCTCAGCCTCCCAAAGGCGCGGGATTACAGGCTGAGCCACCGAACCCGGCTCTGAAGGACATTTTTTGACATTTTCTTAGAGCAGGTCTGCTGGTGATGAATTCTGTCACCTGTATGTCTCACAAATTCTTTATTTTGCCTTCATTTTTGAAAGACATGTTCACTGAGTATAGAATTCTAGGCTGATCTTTTTATTTTTCTGTCAGTACTTTCACTATTCTCTCTATTCCCTTAATCATTTCCACCTCTTCTTGCTGGAGGCTGTTCTAGTTCAAGTTTTAAAAGTCTTAAAAGGAACACAACATAGTAAGGGGGTTAAGAACAAAGGCTCCACCTGGGATCAGAAACCACTCTGCCACTAATTAGCGCTGTGACCATGGCCAAGTTATTCAACCTCTGTGGAGTCAGGATTCTCCGTATCTGAAATGGGTATCATGCTAAGACATCCCTTCCAAGGATACCAGAAGAATATAATAGCATAAAACAAGCAAAGCCCATCATTAAAAAGGTGCAGAAGTCAGATATGGAAGGCTTAGGAAACAGTATTTATGTGAGATAGCGATAGCATTATTTACCCCAGAGGACTCTTCTGGGAGACTGTTTATAACAAATTGAAATTGTATCAATGAGCAGTTAACTATATTAATTCCATAAGCCCATGGGCCTTTTTGAGACAAATGCATATAAACTATGCTCAAACTAGCAATAGAACAATTTGAGAATGGGACAAACTGCATTGCTGTATCAACTCGAACTTTGATTTTAGCTTAAACAGACTAACAAGACAGCATAAGGAGACCCTCAGCCTCAAAGCAACACTATCTGAGGGTTGAGTAAATTAGTGTCTTGGAGCTAAGCACGGTGGAAAATGGGTGTCATGGAACTCCTACTCTCTTGGGACCCAAGACAAGTCAAATTAATGTCGAGAAATTCTAAAATCACAGCAAACATGCGTATGACCAAAATGATAAACATAGTTACTCCACCAGCGTGGGAGAACAGTATCCCCTAGAATAAACAATAGTCATAAAGTCTTGTATTGTGTGGCGCTGTCATGGTGGTGTGTAACTCCACAGTAGGGACACATTGTTCATCTTCTTTGCATTTAATTCCTTTTACAGAGAGAAAATTTTGTGAGCAGATACAATTACTAGCATGAACATTCTTTGTGAGGGTAGTTAAAAGACCCACACAATCTCTCTTCTTTTTTTCTTCCTTTATTTTTTATTTTTATTTTTTTGAGACAGGTTCTCACTCTGTCGCTCAAACTGGAGTGCAGTGGCACAATCATAGCTCATTGCAGCCTCTAACTCCTGGATTCAAGCCATCCTCCTGCCTCAGCCTCCCCAGTAGCTGTGACTACAGGCACAAACCACTGTGCCTGGCCAAGCTCTCTTCATATCCTTGTTTTTCTCTCAGCCCAATCTTCCCTGCCCCTTTGCTCATTTTCCCATCTTTCATCTACCCACTTCCCCGCCCCTAGCAAGACAGGAAAGTAAATCTTGCATTAGGCAACATTATCAAAGTGATTTTCAGTGTGACTTTCTCTGCAGAACGTGTTACTTCTTACTTTCTCAAATATTACTTGCCTACTCAAATACTACCTATCCCTGAATATTCATTTGAACTTTTGAAGCTTTTCTCTATTATTCCAGCCCATGTTAATCCTCCTTACCAATACAGCCCTTAATTACAGAGTGTTTATATTTTTCAATATATTTAAGACGACCATCTTAGCCTCTCACCTAAACAATAAATTCCTCAAGGGCAGTAGCTATATTTGAAGTACTTAAGTTAGCCTTATTATAAAGTGCAAAAGAGATTCACTAAATGGTTAAAGATAGGTGACGGCATGGATGGAATGAATGAATTCTGATGGTGTCTCTGTGAGCTTTTAGCATCAGGATTAACCAATAGTTTCAGCAATGAGCTCAGACCTTCAGTTTTAGATCTTTACTCATGTAAGATCTAATATAAGAGTTTACTTATATAGGAGGAAAAGGTAGCCGGGCACAGTGGCTCATGCCCTAATCCCAGCACTTTGATAGGCTGAGGTGAGAGGATTGTCTGAGACTAGCCTGGGCAACTTGGGGAGACCTCATCTCTACAGTAAATTTAAAAATTACTTGGGTGTAGTGTCTGTAGTCCCAGCTACTTGGGAGGCTGAGGCAAAAGGATCGCCTGAGCCCAGGAGGTCGAGGCTAAGGTAGCTGTGAGCATGCCACTGCGCTCCAGTCAGGGTGAAAGCCAGGGTGACTCAAAAAAAAAAAAGAACAGAGAGAGAAGAGGGTGAGAAGAGTGGTATATATCAGTGCTTGTTTTATATTTGCATATAGCTCGAACTATGAATATTAAAGAGATACACACACACATAAATTATTGCAAAGAAAGAAAAACAGAGGGAAAGAAAAAGCAAGCCAGATAATGCTCAAAGTATTCTAACCAACCATAAAAAAGACTCTGGTGTCAAACATTTTAAATTGAACATTTTTCATCTTTTCTCTCATACAGGTTTCTTCCTGAGCGTGCCTTGGAAGCTATAAACCGTGTACAGAACGTTCGATTTGAAGCTGTGGTTAGCCACAAAACCAAAATGAAATGACTAAATAAACTCCAGCCAGAAATATATTCCCGTTAATGATGGGACCTCAGTCTAGAGTTGATACTTCAAAGCCTCGTTTTACTTTTTTTCAGTCCTCCTCATATTTAAAACTTTGGTTTGACCCTAACAGCCATGAAATGAAAAAGACTAATGACCTAACGTTCTGTTTCTCAAGAATATTAATGTGGTTTTCAATTGTCAGATCTGTTCTTCATTTTCTGCCTCTTTTTAAAACTTACATGGACATACTTCAAAGGTTGTTTTTCTTTTTTCTTTCTTTCTTTTCTTTTTTTGAGTTGGAGTCTCACTCTGTCACCTGGGCTAGAGTGCAGTGGCACACTCATGGCCATCACAGCCTCGACCTGCTGGGCCCACGCAATCCTTCTGCTTCAGCCTTCCAAGTAGCTGGAACTACAGGTGTTCACCACCACGTCCAGCTAATTTTTTGATTTATTGTAAAGATGAGGTCTCACCATGTTGCCCAGGCTGATCTCAAGGCAATCTTCTTGTCTCAGCTTTCCAAAGTGCTGGGATTACAGGTATGAGCCACCATGCCCATCTGGTTGTTTTTCTTTAAGACACTTTAATCTGGTTTGTTTTTTCCATTTAAAAGTGGACAAAAGCTTCCTCCCTGAGAGTAAGCACAAAGAGAACTTATTTATACAGACAAGCTAAAGACTATTCTCCAAGTAGCCTTCCAATCTGTAGCCGGGTCACAGAAAGTCAACGAGAACAGAATGAGCTTACAGCTAAGAGACCAAGCTCCAACTAGCAGTCAGGTGCCAAGGGACAGCCAGGTTACTTCTGTGAGAGTCAACATGCATGAGGTTTTGCAAGCCTCTGCCTTGCAAAAAAAAAAGTGCAGCCCTATTCTGACTTTACTACTTGATTCTGTCCTTTGTATAAATTCCTACATGCATCAAAAGTAGACCCTGCCTACTTTCTAACTTTTTTATAATCTCTTAAAACACTACATTATATCACAAATGGTGACTGGACTCTACCTTGAATCTGAGTATCTAAAGTTCTAAACCCATGATAACCTTTCTTTGTAATTTCTGCTTCCATGTATCATTGGTCCTGGAGATGTTTAGACAATTTTGAGGTTTAAAAATCAGAGCTAGGCCAGGTGCCATGGCTTATGCCTACAATCCCAGTGTTTTTGGGAGGCAAAAGTGGGAGGCTCGCTTAAGCACAGGAGTTTGAGACCAGCCTGGGCAACACAGTGAGACCTTATTTCTATAGAAAATAAGAAAATTAGCTGGATGTAGTAGCACATACCTGCAATCTCAGCTCTCGGTAAGCTGAGGCGGGAGGATCACTTGAGCCCAAGAGTTTGAGGTTACAGTGAGCTATGATCATGCCACTGCACTCCAGCCTAGACAACAGAGCAAGACCCTATCTCTAAAAAAAAAATAAAGCTAACACAGGAAAAGGAACCAGACTGGTTATTTAATATTGGACAATGAATCTGAGAGAAAGAAAAAAAATCATTTTCTTAATAAAAAGAAAATATAACCTCCACTACACCAAGACTAACCTTGTTTTGTGTTTTGTACATGTATTATAGAATGCTTCTGCATTGACTACCCTGTTGCTTTTATTAAAAACAAATGATTTTGTCCAGGCTCAGTGGCATAGCCTATAATTCCAGGCTGTGGAGGCCAAGGTAAGTGGATTGCCTGAGCCCGTGGGTTCGAGACCAGTCCGAGAAACTTGGCAAGACCTCGTCTCTGCAATAAATAAAAAATTAGCCAGGTGCGGTAGTGTGCACTTGTAATTTCGGCTACTTGGAAGGCTGAGGTGGAAGGATGGCCGGAGTCCAGCAGGTTGAGGCTGCGGTGGCCGGGAACAGCCACTGCACTCCAGTCTGGGTGACAGAGTGAGACTCCAACTCAAAAAAAAAAAAAAAAAAAGATTTTAAAAAACACTAATAAGAACAATTTATTAAAAACAAGTATATTGTTGTGCTTTAAAGAAATGACCTCTTACAATTATAAAATAAAAAGTCTGTGTACATCAAGACCTGAGATTCTGGATGGCAATAGCAAGATCTGGTAGTATTAAACAGATCAGAGGGTTTTCTCAGCTCCAGCTTCTTTGGTGGTATGTTGGGTTAGCAACTAACGCTTTCTATGCATGACACTGAGCAGAGCACTGTTCTGAGATTTTTTTCCTAGTAACTTGGGCAATAATTTTTGTTTATAATATTCTTTTAATTGCCTTATAACTAAGAACTTTATGAGTGAAACCTTAAAATGTATTCCTCAAAAGCAGCCAGATGTGGTGGCTCAAAGTGTAATCCCAGCACTTTGGGAAATCAAGGCAAGAGGATTGCTTGAGCCCAGGAGTTCAGGACCAGCCTGGGCAACATAGCAAATCTTGACTAAAAAGAAAAACTAAGTGAGGTGGCTGAGGTGGAAAGATCACCTAAGCCCAGGAGATTGAGGCTGTGGTGAGTTGTGATCGTGCCAGAGCACTCCAGCCTGGGTGACAGAGTGAGACTCCGACTTAAATAAAATAAAAATAAAAGCATGGTAATAATATTTTAAAAGAAAAATATAACCGGGCTCGGTGGCTCAGCCTATAATCCTGCACTTTGGGAGACTGAGGTGAATGAATTGCCTGAGCCCGCGGGTTCGAGACCCGCCTGGGCAACTTGGCGAGACCTCATCTCTACAATAAATCAAAAATTAGCCAGGTGCGGTAGCGCGCACCTGTAGTTCCAGCTACTTGGAAGGCTGACATGGAAGGATCGCCGGAGCCCAGCAGGTTGAGGCCGCGGTGACTGGGAGCAGCCACTGCACTCCAGTCTGGGCGATGGACTGAGACTCCAACTCAAAAAAAAAAAGAAAAATATGTAAAGTAAAAAAATACAAGCTGACACCTCCCCCCACAATCCCATTCCCCAGGGGCCATAGTGTCCATGCACAAGCTTTGCCTATTTCTGATGCATATACTGATATGCCTGTTAGCAAACCTACCGTGGTGACTCCAAGTATAATGAATCCCCCATTTTGCCTCTCAGTTCCCCCTCTCACCCCTCCTCTGTGTGACTGCCCCAACCTTCCAGTAAGCAGTTAACCACAAACTGCTTGACAGAAAGCCCAAATAAGCTGTTCTGTAACTGCTTGAGATAAATTGTTCTGTACTTGTTACTGTTCTGCTGTTTTGTAACCAAAATTTCCTGTATGTTCCCCACCCGACTCTGATAAAATTGTGGTTTTGCCCTTTATAAGTCCCTTGCTTGCTCCATTTGGAGTCAAGAGTTTTTTTCCTGGCATGAGCCTCCTCTCGACCACTGGCAATAAAGGACTCAATATTTAACTCTCAATGTGCTGGTGACTCCTTATTTGCGGTGCAGCTACAACAATACAAGCATATCGCTGGAGCCCAGCAGGTTGACACTGGGGTGGCCGTGAGTGTGCCATGGCACTCCAGCCTGGACGACGGAGTGAAACTCCAACTCAAAAAAAAAAAAAAAAAAGAAAAAGAAACAGAATGATTTTTTTTCAAAATGAACCCTGAGCCATGTTTAAATGTCTTTGCTGAGTCACTTCCTGCTTCTTTGTGCTTCCTTTTCGCAGGCTTTTTACTTTGCCAGGCTACATGTTTAAACTTTTGGAAGAATCCAATCAGAATAGTAATCCTGTAAGCCAATCGGCAAATAGGACATGTAAATGAGATAATTCTGTAAAACCCATCAACATGTAACATGTAGGCATCTTATGGAAAAGTGTATAACTCTTGCAAGTATTCCTCCAATGAGGAACCAGGAGAGGGATGTACATTTTAGAAATAAAAGTGCTGATTCTTCCTGCTTTGGAGGACACCTGATCTTGCAAGACCGCCGTTAAAGTCTCGCTTCTACTACACACCATGTCTCTGTGTCCATCCTTTGATTTTTGGACAGGTGATTTCATTTCTCACAAGCACAAACAGCTAAATTATTTCAGTATATGGAATTTGACCTTGTTCTTTTTTCATAAGTACTAAATGGCACTGAATTTAACCATCCCCTTTGGATAGGCACTTTGGATAGTTCCAATGTTTCTCAATTCACTTATTTATAAATGAATATAACAAAAACTCATTGAGTATTATGAAAGTTTTAGGTCCAAGAGAAACATTTGCGAATAAACTCTGTCTTAATAGAGTTCACATTACGGGGTGGGACCAACAAGAAAGCAGACTGTAAATATTTTAAAAGACAGCATTTAAAAAGGTATTGTCAGGTAAGACCTCTCTGAGAAGAGACACTTTGGGGGTAGAACTATTTATGAAATAAACGCAAAGCCCATACAGGTACCTAGGGAACAGCAGAGAGAAAGGAAATGCAAGTCCCGGATGAAGAAACCAACTTTTCTGTCTTAAGAGCTCCATGAGGGCCAAGACCACAGAGCGGAAAAGCCTTCGGCAGAGTTGCAGGTGATTCACTAAGAGACCGAAGCAGAGTCAGATTACCGGGGGCCCAACAGGCTGTGGTCAGAAGTTTAGATTGTTTTCTGAATGTGAGGGGAAGCCATCCAAGGAATTTGAGCTGGGACTGACCTAATTTGATTTATGTCTTAAAAGTCTTTTCCCTGCCCTGTAGAGAATTATAATAGAATGGCAAGTGAGGAAACAGTCAAATATTTACACAGATTTGCAATTGTGGAATCTCAATGCCTTGTTCTTTCCTTTAAAAAAGTCCTTGAAGGGGCTGGTGCTCACACCTGTAATTCCAGCACTTTGGGAAGCCTAGGCAACATAGCGAGACCTTGTGTCTACAAAAATATAATAATAATAAAATAAGTAGCTGAGCATAGTGGAGAACACCTGTAGTCCTAGCAACTCAGGAAGCTGAGGAGGGAGGATCACTTGAGCCCAGAAGTTCAAGACTGCAGTGAGCTATGATCACACCACTGTACTCCAGCCTGGATGACAGAGCCAGATCTTGTCTCTAGAGAAAAAAAAATGGATGCATTATAAAGGTTATAGATCCATGTGCATGTGGCATAGTGACTTATTGATAAAGATTTAGAATAATAGGCAGATTTATTTATTGTCCAATCAGTGCATGTAAAGATTCTTTTTCTTTTTTTTTTTTTTTGAGAAAGCAGG